AAAATAACATAGGAAAGAATACCTTTGGAGTAGTATAAAATTTTAGAGAATATTAAAATAATAATGAGTCAGTTATATGGCATGGTTGGAGAGGGTAGTTTGGCTAGTAGATACATCTTACATATGCATGGGTTATCAGTGCCCAAATAATTAGGATTCGGTGTGTGTGTGTGTGGGGGGGGAGACAAAGAAAAACAAAGAATTAGTATTCAGTAAAATTAATTTATCCTATATTGAACATTAATCAGAAGATATCTAAGATCTTGCCAAAGCAAAATGCAGTAAATAAAGAGTTCTGGTTTATAAGACATACAAACTTGGTTTTATTATAGATGTCTTAGATATTTTAGAACCTGGGAAATAATATTGAGATAGTAATACATTTTACTTTATAGTGTATTTTATTAAATTAGATATTCATCATAATGATTTCAGAACTTTCAGAAATAAACACAAAGGAAATATATTTTTTAGATTATGGATAATATAGAAATAACATATTTATAATTTGTAGTAGTGCTAATAATACTAATTTTGATGGCTTAATATGGCATTGTAGATCATAGCAAGATAAGACAGAGCCTTTAAATAATTATGATGCTAGAATATTTGGTCTCTATCTTAGGGGTGCACCATTTTAATTGTGTGCAAATGAATTTTTGATGATAGAAATACTGTGGAACCCAGTTCTCAAACTTAGTTTGTTCCTGACGGCAGTTCGAGATGTGATTTGTTCAAAAACCCCGAATCATTTTTTCCCATTAGAAATAATGTAAATTGAATTAATCCATTCCAGACCCCCAAATGATTCCATTTTAACCTTTCTTATATACAGTATATGTCTAATGTACTGTTTAATATATAAAAAAACCCACTTCTTAAATTTATCAAACCACCCCCTGCTAGCCTTAAATCACTTTCAGCACTCGTTCCTTAGGTGTCTTTCAGGAGGTCAGCATGCAGCATCTTGATTTTTCACATATCATTGCCTCCGAAATGCTATCACTGGCTAACTGTTTTTGTTCATCCACATCAGCAACAGCTTTTCTACCTCAATTGCCTGTGATCATTGTTTTGTGAGCACTTCCACACTCTTAGCAATATCAGCACTTTTGATGGCCACTTTATGTTTTAAAATTGTGTTAATTTGTCCAATTGGTCAGCCACAAAAGCAACAACAAAAAATCCCACAAAAATATTCACAGCACAATTTACTGAGATGTTAACATGCTCTCGAATTCTCTCCATTGTTTGTGGCCTGAGAGCCACTCATCTGGTCAAGAACCCAAGTTTTGTTCCACAACCAAGACATTTTTTTCCATGAACAACTTGTTGGAGAACCGAATTGTTTGAGATGGGAGATGTTCAAGACACGAGGTTTGACTGTAATACAGATCTGTGATTAAAAAAAACAGCTAGGGCCCTGACCAGTTTGGCTCAGTGGATAGAGTGTCGGTCTGGGAACTGAAGGGTTCCAGGTTCGATTCCGGTCAAGGGCATGTATCTTGGTTGCGGGCACATCCCCAGAGGGGTGTGTGCAGGAGGCAGCTGATCGATGTTTCTCTCTCATCGATGTTTCTAACGCTCTATCCCTCTCCCTTCCTCTCTGTAAAAAATCAATAAAATATATTTTAAAAAAAAAACAACAACTAGGAAATAAATGTTTGACTCTTGGCTCTATTTACTAGTTCTATGACCTTGGGCAAATTGCTTTAACTTTTCAATATTTGGTTTATCCCTTTGTAAGTACTGAGCACAGGGTGGTTGAAAGGAGTTAATAAATTAATATAGGTAGAATGCTTAGAACCTTGCCTGACATGTGACAGGCACTTAATAAATGTTACCTATCTTGTTGTTTTTATAAAGGTGTACATTCCCCTGCAATGTTATATAGAGGCCCGGTGCATGAAATTCATGCATGGAGGGGGGGGTCCCCTTAGCCCAGCCTGCACCCTCTCCAATCCGGGACCCCTCGGAGATCAGGCCTAAACTGGCAGTCGGACATCCCTCTCACAATCCTGGACCGCTGGCTCCTAATTGCTCACCTGCCTGCCTGCCTGGTTGCCCCTAAATGCCCCCCCTGCCAGCCTGATCGCCCCTCACTGCCTCTGCGTGCCAGCCTAATCACCCCTAACTACCTCACCCTGTTGGCCTGATCACCCCACGCAGCTTGCTTGTTCAGTCATTTGGTTGTCCCTCACTAACCCCCCTGCTGGCCTGGTTGTAGGCAGCCATCTTGTGAGGGCATGAAGGTTAATTTCCATATTGCCTCTTTATTATATAGAATATTTTTATTGATTTCAGAGAGGAAGGGAAAGGGAGAGAGAGATAGAAACATCAGTGATGAGAGAGAATCATTGATCAGCTGCCTCTTGCACGCCCTCCAGTAGGGAAGGAGCCTGCAATGTAGGCATGTGCCCTTGACCAGAATCTAACCTGGCCAATGCTCTATCCACTGAGCCAAACTGGCTAGGGCACATTGAATATTTTTTTGTGTTTGTTGTTTAAGCTTTGGTAGTTCAGAAAATACTATCAGCATCATCTTCATTTACATATTTATAATTACTAGTGAAGCTGACATTTCAAATTATTTATTGATTAATTGTATTTGAGTGTTTTGTGTGTATGTGAGAAAGACAGAGAAAATTCTCTGTCTTTTGCTCAGTTTTCTAATACAGTGCTTATGCTTTTGTCATTGATATAAGAAGTATTTTTCCCAATTGGTTTGCTTTTTACTTTTGTAAGAGTTTTATAAATATTAAAATATTTTAATTTTATTTTTTATTGAATTTATTGGGATGACATGTTAATAAAATTATATAGATTTCAGGTGTACAATTCTGTAATATATCACCTGTATATTATATTATGTGTTCACCACCCCAAGTCAACTGTCCTTCCATCATGATTTATCCCCTCGAAACCCCCTTCCCTCTTCTACCATCTCTTTCCCTCTGGTAAACACCATACTGTTTTTGGTGTCTATGAGGTTTCTTTTTTTGTTTAATCCCTTCACCTTTTTCACCGAGCCTCTCTCTGACAGCTGTCAGTGTGTTCTGTAACTACGAGTCTGTTTCTATTTTGCTAGTTTATTTTGCCATTAGATTCCACATATGAGTGAAATCATATGGTACTTGTATTTCTATGATTGACTTATGGAACTGTCTTATGACCCAGCAATCCCACTTCTGGGAATATATCCAAAGAAATCAGAAACACTAATTCAAATAATATATGTACCCCTATGTTCATTGTTGCATTATTTACAATAGCCAAGATTTGGAAGTAGCCTAATTGTCCATCAATAGATGAGTGGATAAAAAAGTGGTGTTATGTTTGCACAATGGAATACTATGCAGCCTTAAAAAAGAAGGCTACCTTACCCTTTGTGACAGCATAGGTAGACCTGGAGAGCATTATGCTAAGTGAAATAAGCCAGTCAGATAAATATTTTATTTTAAATTAAGCCTTTTATTTTGACATAATTGTAGGTATTCATGCACTTGTAAGAAATAATAAAGAAAGCCTTTTCCCATTTTTTACTAGTGGTAACATCTTGCATAACTATAGTGCAATATCTTACCCAGATTATTGATATTGATAGCAAAGATATAGAATAGTTCTGTCACCACAAGGATTCCCCATTTTGCTCTTTCATAGCAACACCCACCTCTCTTTGTTCCCACCCCCATTTAACCCTGGCAAACATTAATTTGTTTTCCATTACTATAATTTTGTCATTTAAAAAATGCCGTATAAATGGAATCATACAGTATGTAATCTTTGGGGGATAGCTTTTTTTCACTCAGCATAATTTAGAGATTCATCTTGATTGTTGTGTTTATCAATTGTTTGTTTTATTGCTGCATAGTATTATTCCATAGTATGTACATAGTTTGTGTTAACAATTTTCCCATGGCTGGGTATTGTTTCCACTTTTCGGCTATTAAAAATAAAACTGCTGCCCTAGCTGGTTTGGCTCGCTGGATAGAGCGTCAGCCTGGGGACTCAAGGGTCCCAGGTTCGATTCTGGTCAAGGGCATGTACCTTGGTTGCAGGCACATCCCCAGTAGGGGGTGTGCAGGAGGCAGCTGATCGATGTTTCTCATGGATGTTTCTAACTCTCTATCCCTCTCCCTTCCTCTCTGTAAAAAATTAATAAAATATATATTTAAAAAAATAAAAAACTGCTGCAAACATTTGTGTACAGGTTTTTTTGTGTGTGTGAACATAAGTCTTTATTTCTCTGGGATAAATGCTCAGGAGTGCAATTGCTGGGCCATATGCTAATTGCATATTCAATCTTATAAAGAAACTGCCAAGATGTTTTCCAGAGTGGTTGTACCATTTTACATACCCGTCGGAAAGTATGTGTGATCCAATTTCTCTGTGTCTTCACTATCATTTGGTATTAGAACTAGTTTTTCATTTTAGCCATTCTTGCAAATAATGATTACATATTGTGATTTTTACTTGTATTTCCTTAAGTTCTAATGATATTGAACATTTTTTTCTGTGCTTATTTGCCATCTGTATATCCTGTCTGTTAATGTCATTTTTAGTCAGGAAAAAAAAAAAAACAATATCCAAACATAGCAATGTATTATATGGGCCTTTTTTACCCAAGGATTTGGAATATGGTTTTTTTTCCCCACAAACATTTTATTTTTAAAATTTATCATTATTGTTGAAAGTATTACACATGTTCCCTTTTTTCCCCATTGACCCCTTCCACCCTGCACCAATCCCTGCGCCCTCCAGGCCTTCACCACACTATTGTCTGTTTCCATGTTTTTACAAAAGACAGAAGTGTTGGTCTCCTAGGACCTGGCTGGAGGCAAGATAGCGGGCTTGAGGTGAGCAGCTGTCAAGGGATGAAAATAGGTATGCCCAGAAGCAAATTTTAAAAGGATTTTCTCTTCATATCTTTTTCTATACCACCTGATAAGCATCTTGCTTCACCATGGCCGTATCAGCAGTGAAATGGGTGATATCAAACAGAACTATCTTGAAACATTTATTTCCAATCCAAAATGGAGCTTTATATTGTGTTTGTCATAAATCCACACACTCTTCTCTTCCAGATGACTATAATTGCAAAGTAGAACTTGCTTTGACATCTGATGGCAGGACGATAGTTTGCTACCATCCTTCTTTGGATATTCCATATGAACACACCAGACCTATCCCTCGGCCAGATCCTGTGCATAATTATGAAGAAACACAGAATCAAATACTGAAAACCAGATTAGAAGAAAAAGATGAACACTTTGAGTAAGGATTCATGATAGAACAACTTAGCAAAATGTTCTTTACTACTCAGCACCGTTGGTATCCTCGTGGACAGAATCATACACATCAAAAGACAGATGATATTGAGGTTTCCAGTAAAATGCTATCCTGCTCATTTTTCATTTGAGAAAATGTAATCAGGTATATTCACTTCTGTTATATAGTAAAATAATAATAAAATGTCTTTTCATCTATTAAAAAAAAGACAGAAGTGTTGTTCAACTGGAATTCTTTTCCTGTTGTTAGATTTACACCTAAGTCTTTTTTCCTCTTTTTTAAAAAGTGATTGTAAATGTTACTGTATTTTTCATTTCAGTGTTCACTTGTTTATTGCTAGTATGTAAAAATATAATTTATTTTGTATGTTTATCTTGTATCCTGTGACTTTGATGAACTCACTTATTCTAGGAGTATTTTTGGAGATTTCTTATGACTTTCAATATAGTCACCTGAAAATAGGGACAGTTTTCTTTCTTTCTTTCCAATCTAGATGTCTTCCCCCTCCACCTCCCAGTACTATGTTGGATAAGAGTGATGAGAGCAAGCATCAATGCTTTTTCCCAATCTTAGGGAAAAACATCTAGTTTCTCACCATTAAGTATGGTGTTAGCTGTAATTTCTTATACATGCTCTTTATAAAGTTTATGTTCCCCTCTATTCATATTTTTCTAAGAATATTTTTTACCTTGACTGGGTGTTGAATTTTCTAAAATGCTTTTTCTTGCCCAGCTGGTGTGGCTCAGTGGTTGAGCATCGACCCATGTACCAGGAGGTCTCCAGTTTCATTCCAGGTAAGGCTGGTTGGATTCCAGGTCAGGGTACATGCCCGATGTTGGACTCAATCCCCAGCAGGGGGCGTACTGGAGGCAGACTATGGATTGATGTTTCTATCTCTCCCTTTCCCTTCCTCTCTCTCTCTAAAAGAAACAAATCAATAAAAACATATTTTTTAAAAATGCTTTTTCTTCATTGGTTGATATGATGATGTGAACTACATTGACTGATTTCCAAATATTATACTTACTTTGCATCCTGGTATAAATTTCACTTGATCATGGTATATAATCCTCTTAAAAAGTGCTGAATTATATTTGCTTATATTTTAAGGATTCTTGCACTCATATTTAAAGAGGAAAATGTTCTGAAAGTTTTATTTTTTATATTATCTTTGTCTGGTTTTGGTTAGGCTATATAATAATGGCTTCATAAAATAAGTTTGTGTTTGTCCTCTTGTATTTTCTGAAAGAAATTTTTAAGCAATTGGTAAAATTCTCCAGTGAAAGCATCTGGACCTGGAGATTTGTTTCTAGGAGTATTAATTTAACCGACCTGTGACTTTTGAAGTTTTACTGTTACACATCAATATACAACAAAACAAACTTTTGATTATTATAGGTATTATAGAAAACCCAGGATCCTTTCCTGGGTCTCGTGGGCAGAGAACAGATCCTTTCATAGTTATAGGCCTACTCAAATTATCTACGTCATATTAGTGAGTTGTGGTAGTTTGTGTTTTTTTGTCAATTTCTTCTAAATTATTAAATTGTAGGCATAGTATTCTTTTGATGTCTGCTTGGTGTGTTGTGATATCCTGTTTCATTCCTGTTACTGGTAATTTGTATCTTCTCTCTTTTTCTCTTACTAGGGGTTAGTTAGTTTTATTGATTTTCCCCCCAAGAATCAACTCTTTGTCTCACTAATTTTTTTCTATTGTTTATGTTTTCCATTTCATTTATTATTTTCATTCTTCTGCTCGCTTTGGATTTATTCTGCTCTTTTACTAGGTTCTTCAGGTGGGAGCTTAGATTATTGATTGGACACTTTTTTAAAATTTTCATTGAGATATAATTGACACATAACATTATATTAGTTTCAGGTATAAAACATAACGATTCGCCCTAGCTGGTTTGGCTCAGTGGATGGAGCGTCAGCCTGCGGACTGAAGGGTCCCAGGTTCGGTTCCGGTCAAGGGCATGTACCTTGGTTGCAGGTACATCCCCAGCAGGGGGTGTGCAGGAGGCAGCTGATCGATGTTTCTCTCTCATTGATGTTTCTAACTATCTCTCTCCCTGCCTCTCTGTAAAAAGTCAATAAAATATATTTTTTTAAAAAAACATAACGATTCATTATTTGTATATATTGTGAAATGATCACCACAATAAGTCTAACATCATCATCACACATAGTTATAAATTTTTTTCTTGTGATGAGAATTTAAGATCTACTCTCTTAACGATTTTCAAATATATAATACAGAATTGTTAAATATAGTCACCATGCTGTACATCCATCTGCTTTTCTAATGTGTAAGTTATGAAGTTTCCCTGCTAGCACTACTTTAACTATATCGCACCAATTTTGATATATTTTGATTTTCATTCAATTCATTGTATTTTTTTAATTTCCCTTGAGAATTCCTCTTTTATCCATGGGTTATTTAGATGTGCTTAATTTACAAATGTTTAGAGATTTTCCTGTTACTTTCTGTTACTGATTTCTAGTTTGATTCTATTGTAGTTGGAGACCACACTCTATATTATTTTTATTCTTTTAATTATTTGAGGCTTGTTTTGTGGCCCAGGATAAGGTCTATCTTGGTATATGTTCCACGGACACTTGAGAAGCATGTGTATTTTGCTTTATTAGTTGTATTCTATACATGTCAATTGGATTCTGATGATTAATGGTTTCACTGAGTTCTTCTATGCCTTTGCTGATTTACTGTCTAGATCAGTGGTTCCCAACCTTTTTGGCCATGCTATACCTAAGCATCTCTAAAATCCTGATGCCCCCGTGTGACATATAATTCTTACTATGCAAAAAGTGAACTCCTGTTCATGTGGAGGAAGCCTAAAAGGCCATTAACTTGGTCTAAACAAGCTTCCAAAGAACATGGAATCCATGAAAGAGAAAAATAACAGAACAAAAGGACAATTAAAGTACTGAGGAAGAAATCACTACCAAATTGTTTAAAAAATAATATGAAATGATATGAAAAAATAGCAAATAAAATTTCAAATCATGGACAACTGAAATGCATAAGTATGCCACAAAATATATTTATATACTGTATATGAGGCCCCTAGAACCATAGGAAATGCAAAAAATTCACTGTTAATAACTCATTCTCGAACTTTACCCTTAAAAATCAAATTGCTCTCCTGTGGGGCGTGTGCCCCACGTTGGGAATCACTGGTCTAGATGTTCTATCAGTTGGTAAGAGAGTGGTGTTGTAGTCTAAAAATAGTGGATTTTTCCATTTTCACTTTCCGTGTGATCATGTGTGTGTGTGTGTGTATATATATATATATAGTTAATCCTCACCCGAGGATATTTTCCCATTGATTTTTTGAGAGTGTAAGAGAGAGGGAAAGACAGAAATATCAATGTGAGAGAAACACATTGATTGGTTGCCTTCTAAATGTACCCCAACTAGGGCCTGGGCTGGGGAGGAACCTGCAACCAAGGTACGTGCCCTTGACTGGAATCGAACTTGGGACCCTTTGGTCCACAGGCCAACGCTCTATCCACTGAGCCAAAGCAGCTAGGGCTGATCACATAAGTTGAAGCTCTGTTGTTTGGTACTAAGATTTCTTGGGAGAATCCTTTATGTAATATCATTATGTAACAACCCTCTCTGTCTTTGGTAATTTTCTTCACCCTGAAGTTTACTTTATCCATTTCTACATTTTTTGGTTAACATTGCATGATAAATTTTTCCATCTTTTAACTCTAGACTGCCTCTCTCATTATTTTTGTATTATATATGTGTGTGTGTGTGTATTTTATTGTTGATAGTATTACAGATGTCTCCTATTTTCTCCTCCTTAACTCCCCCTCCTCTGAGCCCCTACCCCCTCTCCCAGGTTTTCAGCAAACTATTGCCTGTGTCCATGGGTTATGCATAAAAGTATATAAGTTCTTTAGTTTATCTCTTCTCATCTCCCCAATCTCCACCTTGAGATATGTTAGTCTGTTCCATGCCTTCATGCTTCAGGTCTTATTTTGTTGGTCAATTCATTTTGTTCATTAGATTCCAAGAATAAGTGAGATCATGTGATATTTGTCTATCTCAGATTGGCTTTTTTCATGTAACATAAGAGTCTCCAGGTCCTGTCTCAAAGGGTAAGAGATCCTTTTTTTTTTTTTTTTTTTTTTTTTTTTTTTTTTACAGCTGCATAGTATTCAATTGTGAAAATGTACCACAGTTTTTTATCCATTCAACTACTGATGGGCACTTGGGCTGTTTCCAAATCTTAGCTATTATAAATAATACTGCTATGAACATAGGGGTGGCATATTCTTTACGATTGGTGTTTCAGGGTTTTTAGGACATATTCCCAGGAGTGGAATTGCTGGGTTAAACAGAAGTCCCATTTTAAATTTTTTGAGTAAACTCCATACTGTTTTCCAAAGTGGCTGCACCAATCTGCATTACCACCAGCAGTTTACTAGGGTTCCCTTTTCTCCACATCCTTGCCAGCACTTGTTTGTTGATTTTTTTTATGATAGCCATTCTGACAGGTGTGAGTTGATATTTCATTGTGGTTTTAATATGTATTTCTCTGATGATTAGTGACTGAAAATTTTTTCATGTCTCTTGACCATTTATATGTCCTCTTTGGAGAAGTGTCTGTTGAGTTCCTCTGCCCATTTTTTAAATTGGGTTGTTTGTCTTCATTTTGTTGAGTTATATGAGTAGTTTATATATGTATTGGAGATTAACCCCTTATCAGATATATCATTGGCAAATATGTTCTACCATACAGTGGGTTCCCTTTTCATTTTGATGGTGGATTCTTTTGCTGTACAGAAGCTTTTTATTTTTATGTAGTCCCATTTCTTTATTGTTTCCTTTGTTTCTCTTGCCCTAGGAGATGTATTGGCAAAAATTCTGCTATGTGAGATGTCTGAGACTTTACTGCCTATATTTTCCTCTAAGATTTTTATGGTTTCATGCCTTACATTTAAGCCTTTTATAAATTTTGAGTTTATTCTTGTGTATGGTGTAAGTTGGTGGACTATTTTAATCTTTTTCCATGTGTCTGTCCAGTTTTCACAAAACAATTTGTTGAAGAGACTGTCTTTACTCCATTGTATGTTCTTGCCTCCTTTGTCAAATATTAATTAACCATGATGGTGTGGGTCAATTTCTGGGATCTCTGTTCTGATCCATTAGTCTATGCCTGTTCTTGTGCCAGTACAGGCTATTTTGGTTATAATGGCTTTGTAAGTTTGATATCTGGTATTATAATTCTTCCAACTATGTTATTCTTTCTCAAGATTGTTGTGGCTATTTGGGTTCTTTTATGGTTCCATATAAATTTTTGGAGTATTTGTTCTAGTTGTGTGAAGCATGCCATTGATATTTTAATAGGGATTGCATTGAATCTATAGATTGCTTTGGGTAGTATAGACATTTTAATGATGTTAATTCTTCCAATTCATGAACCTGGTATATGCTTCCATTTGTTTGCATCTTCCTGTATTTCTTATTTCAATGTTCTATAGTTTTCCAAGTACAGATCTTTTACCTCCTTGTTAGGTTTATTCCTAAGTATCTTATTTTGTTGTTGTTGTTGTTGTTACAATAGTAAATTTTTTTTTCTTTTTAGTTTCTCTTTCTAAGAGTTCATTATTGGTGTATAAAAATGCCATCCATTTCTGGATGTTGATTTTGTATACTGCTACTTTGCCAAATTAATTAATTAAGTCTAGCAATTTCCTGGTGGAGTCTTCAGGGTTTTCTAGCTATAAAATCATGTCATCTGTGAATAAGGACAGTTTTACT